ATTATATTGAGTATTATAATTAAAAACTTCTAAAAGCAGGTTAGTTATTATATCCAAGAGAGCCCCGTAGGCAACGACTCGTCTTTTAACATGGCTCCGAAAAGCGTCATGAAGAAAAAACAAATGAAAAACAAGAAACCAGCCAAAGCCTCAAAAGTGGTTTCTAAAAAAGTTGAAGTGATGAGCGATGGTAATGATGATTCCGATGATGGATCATTAGATGCCATTGAATTTAACAGTGAGTAAATTATTAGTTAGAAAACATTTTCTAAAATAGTTGTTATTGCCCCTTTTGTTTCAGGCGAATCTGATCACGATGCAAGTTTAAGCGAGGGTGATGATGGTAATGTGTACGACAGCGATGATTTGGACGAAGATTTAGAAAAACTGAAAACCTCTGACCCAGAATTCTATAAATATTTAAAGGAATGTGACAAAAAACTTGCCAGTATGCCTGAACAAGATGGTGATGAAAGTTTTAATGATGATGATGATTATGATGAAGATGATGTTGAAGGAATAAAATCAGAAAAATTACATAAACCACCTACTAATTTAGAAGTAAGCAATGCATAGTATGTAAACTTTGAGGATTGAGTTAAAATTTAAAAAAAAAATCATTATTAACCTAATAATAAATTGTAATTGTATTATTATATTGTATATTTTAATTGTATTGAATATTTTAGATTGGTAGCGATGAAAGTGATTTTGATGAAGGACCAAGTAATAGTGGAGGAGATTTAACTGTTATTACTTTGTCAATGATAGAGACTTGGAGACAAAAGCTTCAAAATTCGTAAGACCCATTTATACATGAAAAAAAAATTTACTTGATGATATGATAATAAACAAAAAAATAAATAAATTATAACTTTAGGAAACAAAAACTCAAATACATTACTACAGCATCTAAGGCAATGACAGCAGCACTTCAGCGTATAACAGCAAATGAAATTAATAAACCTACATGTTATAAAGTTGAAGGAAGTTCGGGTAATTATACATATTTAATTTAAATTGGAGAAGTTTATTTTAAATATTTCATATTTTTTCAGTATTCAATGCTGTACTTCAAATGTGTATGTTTGACTTGCAACCTGCTCTTTTGAAATTTTTAAAACTTCCCCCTGGTACGTCATCAAAAAACATGATTTCTAAATCAAAACATTGGAAGAAAGTAAAAATGACCCTACGTTCATATTTAACGGATCTAACTAGAGTAATTACCATTTTTGATATTTATGTTTTAGTAATTGTAAAATTTGATATAATATCTTCATTGATACCTGTATATTATATACTTAACATATAACTAGTCTTAATTTTATATAAAAAAGCGTAACTGCTTTCCAAATTCATAATTACTAAGAATTACATTAAAATGTTTGTAGCTATTGGCAACTGTTTCTAGTGAAGATATTACCTGTGTACTACTTAAACATTACCACCAAATGATACCATTTTTATCATGTCTTCCAACAATTGTTAAACCAGTTTTGAAAAGGTTTGTAGCACTATGGAGTGCTAATGCAAGTGAAACAGTTAAAGTTGTATCTTTTTTGTGTATTTTGAAGTTAGCCAATAGTGACTTATCATCTTATCTAGAAATGATTCTGAAGGTAATTCAATTATTTATCTGTAAATATTTTTGTAATAAATAATGTTGTTTTTAGGCTATGTATGTGGGATATATTTCTAATAGCAAATTTGTAACTCCAAATGCTTTACCTGGGATTAACTTCATGAGACAATCATTGTCAGAAATGTTTACTATAAGTGAATCAATATCTTATAATCATGCATTTTTGTATATTAGACAGTTAGCCATTCATCTTCGATCAGCTGTAACTTTAAAAAAAAAGGTAATGGATTAATTACATTTTTTAGTTTATATAAATTGTAATGTTATAAAACAATTTTGTTTAAGGAAAATATACAATCAGTATACAATTGGCAGTATATATATTCACTTAAATTGTGGACAGATGTTTTGTGTGCTACATTAAATAAAAAACAATTGCAAACTTTGGTTTACCCTCTTGTTCAAGTATGCTCATTACACTTAAATAAAATAAAAACTTTTTGAATATTTAAAACAAATACATATTTTTAGATAATTGTTGGGTGTGCAAAACTTATACCAACAGTACAATATCTGCCATTAAGATTTCATTGTATTTCAATGTTAACCAAGCTAAGCAGAGAAACTGGTAAATTTATACCTATTCTACCACATATTTTAGAGGTATTTATAGATAAAATTATACAAGACCAACAGAGGTTTTCTTTATACTTATATAAAAAAAAAAATTATTTTTAGGTACTTACCATAGTAGATTTTCAAAAGAAACATTCGAAAACATCGATGAGACCAATGGACTTCACTTGTATATTACGTCTCTCAAAATCACAATTACAGGAAAATGTATTTAAAGACGCAGTTATTGAAAATGTACATAGTGCTTTTATGGAATATATTGTAATTGAAGCACATACAATCAGTTTTCCTGATCTAGTAGTACCATTTATCATCAAAGTATGTTTTATTTATATTTCTTAAGTATATAGTTAAGTTTAAACTTAAATTATTGTAATAAAATCACTATTATTTATTTAGATGAAAGAGTTTCTTAAAAATTGTAAAAATATTAATTATACTCGAAAGTTACGTACTTTGTTAGACAAAGTGAAAGAAACATCAACTATAATAAGTGAAAAACGAGGAAAAAGTGGTCTTTTACTTCATGACTTAAAAGGTATTGAGGCATGGGAATCTGATATTAAGTTAGCTGGTACTCCTATGTCCCAATATTACGATAGTTGGTTCAAAATAAATCAGCAACAGGTTGCTAGAAAAATAACAAATAACATTGCAGTAAGTTAATTCATGGTACAAAATTATTTAAGGTTGACTAATGTTAATTTTGATATTGTTAGCTTGGAGAATTCAATATTCCTACCTTAAAGAAACATAAGCCAAAAGAAAATGATGGTGGACCCGCTGAACTATTCCCTTCTGATGATGAAGAATATGAACCTAAATTTGGGTAAGGCATTATTAGTTGCTAAATGCAGCATTAACCTGGCCAGTCAATACCAAGTCAGTCCAAAATAAAAAAGGGATAGAACTATAATGATAGATACACATTCTTAATTATTATAGTTTTTAAATTCATTGTTGAATTTTGAACAAAGTCTTTTCTATAATAAACACTGATCTTATTATTAGTTTATTTAAATTTTAAGTGAAAATTATAAGATTTAAAAAGAATACAGTTATTAATAACAAGGTTAGTACCTTCAATAATGTTTTTGTAACATATTCTAATTTTCTGTACTAAATTACCAGTAGGAAGTCTATACAAACATTTTTATAAATTTTGATTCTATAATAATTAATGTTACCATCTGGATCTAGGTCTTCAGAAGATGAAAAAGATGATGAAGATGATGATGATGTTAATGATGATGATGACGATTTAGAAGATGAGGATGAAGATGATGACAACAATTAATTGATAACTTTTTATACATTATATTATTTACTTTTTATTTTTTAATACCTTTAAAGTTAAATATCTAGTAATTTAAATGTTGTTCTTGATTATTCATAATAAAAATCAATAAATAAAAAATGTCTATTACATATTTTATTTGGTGTACTCTTCTCGTAAGGTTTTATAGTACAATTATAATTATATGTAATCTACCTATCTGATTGACGCTGGATAATATTGTGCCATTTGTAGCTGTGAAATGTGTGAATTAACTAATTTCTACAGTATTTTTGAATTTCAAATAAATAGCTGAAATTGTAATTCTTGATAAATGATCTCATTTTGTTCATACTTAAATCTACAAGGGATCTTGTATTTTCAGGTTTTTGGTTAAATCTATTTTTATCAACAATTTTAAAACCCTATAGATAGATTAATTTAACTTTTAATTCTAAATATTTTGGTAATTTCATTGACCACAGAAAATAATAATATAATGAACAGTATAAACTAACTATTTTATAAGAAAATTTCCAATATCAAAATTTGAATTTTGTGAATTCAAATATTTTCTGAAATTATGCTCAACTTCTTTGAATATTCCCATAATAATCCCAGCTATAAAAATTCGTGAGGAACATTGTATCTTAGGTAAATCTTAGGTGGGTATGAATCTTTAAAACTGAATTTTTATGTAAAAATAGTATGCAAATTTGAGTGATTTTGAGAAAAAATTCATCCAAAGTTCAAACTTTGAATTCGTATTCAAAATATTGTAAATGTATGTGAACAACTTATGACATAACGGAGAAAGTGGAAAGTGCTATAATATTACTTCCCCAAATAATCTACCTTATCAAAATAGATAGATGCTTTGAGAAAATATTTAACATAAATTATTCCTATGTTTTATCTTTCTTTGAAATATTATTTTCGGTAAAATTTCCGAATTTCCGAATTTCGAATGATTAAAATTAGTAAAATGAGTTGATAACCTATATTTTAACAGCCCAATAAGACTATTGGACGTTTAAAGATTGTTTAACGGATGAACAAAATTGTAATCGTTCGTTAGGGAACTAACGGTCATTGAACTATGTAATATTAATTATTAATATTAATTGAACAATATACTATACATAAATATTACATAGTTCAATGCTAATGGTTCATTAAACGCATAATATAACTATATAGTTATATCATGGTTCAACGCTTAGTAACTAAAACCTGTAATAATGCCTCATTACATAGACCCGTGGTGAATATTGATGGCAAAATCATGAATTTGGCGAGATGCGATTTCTTTATTAAGCACATGTTTATTTAGTCATGATTTAGTAATTGCACTTGGGTAGTTGGGTGGTGGTGGTAGCACTTTGTTCTGTGGTAGCACTGTCTGAGAGTGATAAATGATAATCTGATTACCTATTTATCACATAATATTTTGTGATATTTTCAATTTTGATTTTTTAATATATTTACCTACCCAATACCCATAAAAATTAGAATTCGGAATTACAATTTACAATTGATTATCGAGGCATCAAGTTAGTGTGAAGCTCTAACTATTTTTTTTGAAAATTGTTATAAGTATTAATAACTTATATCGTTATAGTGTTAATTGTTCACATTAGCTATGAAACATTTAAAATTCATTTCAAGGACTGTATTGGTGCGGAATGAAAATGTGGACGAAGCCTGCCGTGTTTTGAACCGAATAATGGGTTCTGAAGGTTTCTTGGATCAGTACAGAAGAACAATGTTTTATGAAAAACCAACTCAAATGAGAAGGAGGATTAATTACGAGAAATGTAAAGCCATATACGATGAAGACATGAAGCGCAAGATTAATTTTGTTCTACGCAAAAACCGACCAGAGCCTTTTCCTGGATGTTATTAGTTAAGTTTAGTAGAAATATTTATTTTTACATGTCTTATCATACAATATTGTTAGCATAAACCTTGTAATATTATACACTTTTATAATTATAATATCCTGTATATTTGGAATTCAATATAGCCTACTTATAGGTATTCATTTTGATTTCTGAAGTTATTTTATCATTATAATAGGTGTTAATTTAATGTAGAGATGTAATATACAATCCATTACCTATGTGAGGAAAATATGATGTATTTTAAAGTAAAATAATTTTACTTAAGATCCTACTCTAGTTTCAACTCTCATCGAACTTCATTGTCTTACTCCAACAATAACTTTATAATTATTATTTATTTGAGTAGACTCATGTTTGTGATAAAAATATCTTTGGTAACCAGTGGATTTTAAAAGCAACTAAATTCAAAATTATGTATCCTGTACGTCCCTTATTTGAATCAAGCCAGTGAATGAGTGCCTTGAAAAAATGTTCCAAACAACACTTTGGTCCTTTATTTTTAATCATCCATCCCCTACATACCTCCAGGAAATAATAAATTTTTATTATATTCATTTCAAATATTAAAATTCGATTTTAATTTATTTAGGTAAGTAAGTTTACTTTAAAGGTCTGAATAAAACAGAATAATACGTTGAGGTCTAAAAGCTTAAGGTGAAAGTCACTTTATATTTAATTTTTTTATTTTGTTTACAAAATATGCTCATTTAGTTTCAATTGTTTGCGCCTATGTGAATTATAAGTAAGTATACTTAACTTGTATCATCAACTTATATCAGGGTTCAAAGTGGGAAAAAATTCTAGAGGGGACTAATGTCTCCATATGGTTTTAAGCGTTCCATATATAATTTTATGTATAATGTCTAATGTATAAAATTCTAATTCGTTAAAGGGGATGCTTTTTAACCACCGCCAAAGGTAGGGGGGCTGAGTCCTTCTGCGTCCCCCCCACTTTAACCCCTGACTTACATTGATTATTTGAAAACATACTGTGTGATACTTGTTCGGTGCTCTATTCATGAATTGTCTGTTATTTCATTCATATTAATATTAAACATCAATTTATTTAACTTATTCGTTGATTAAAAAACTTTTTGGATATTTTTTTTTTAAAGAAAATTATTGGTTATTTCTTATTATCAAAATTTGATCCCAACTTTTGTGGAGTGCTCAGCTCCCGAAACAAATTTCAATGGGTGATCAAGTACCCGTTTACTAGGCGCTTATGGTTCTAATCACGCCACAAGCTCTTCGTTGATTTTGTATTAATTTGTATTACGTCTCATACTCTTATGTCAACTTACAAAAATACAAAATGTTGGTCATTGACCCTTACGTTTCTTTCTGTTAAACCTATATAAATACCTAATTTAAAAGTGATCTTTATCTTTCGTGTCAATAACAATTTTTACTTGTTTTACATTTTTGTTCATAATACTTTATACATATTATATATATTTGTATAAATTGTATATTTTAAGTATAACCTATTTATTCTTGATCATAAATATATAGTTATAATTGTTCTCAACTCGATGAAATATGTTGGGCATCTGCGTGTATGTTTCTAAAATAAATTAAGTACCTCTTCATACGTATAGTATGACTTGGTACACTACACTTAGAGCTGTAATTAATATCTATAACCTGCCAGTTATATTTATTAATTTTTAGAAGTAAGGATTAAGATTTAAGCGAGTTTTTTTATGATACATTGGTATATAATGTGAATTAGTCATTACTGATTACCATTTAATTATCTATTTATCTATTAATCTATACATCTAATAATCTAATTCTATAACATTTATTAATTATTTTAAGTTATATTGGTAGGTAATCACTAATCATTTTTCTAAAACTTCATCTCAATCGTATAATGATAATAATTGATAACAAACACTTCAACAATTACTGCCTTAGACTTTATGTCTAATGATTTTTTTTTTTTATAACTTTATTTAAAAAAACAAACAATCTAATAAATCTAGCAACCGGATTTGTATGCACATGTCTATAAGAATGAACTTTTTTAAATCCGATAAGAATTTCCCTGATTTAGATTATTCTTAGTAAAATAACACTAATTGTATTTTCAATTTTGCATATTTAGACGTTTTTGCCTATTAAATCCATATTTAATGCATATTTGTTGTTTTATAGTTCATATTATTTGTAAAACATATTTGTTTTTCATCATTTTTTCACTTTCATAACCTTATAAATTATAAATGTTTATAACTTATAAGTTATAATATTATCAATAAAATTATTACGAAAATGTGAGATAATATTTTATAAATTAAAGATAAAGAATGTTAAATGTCGATGAACTTAGTGAAGACGATGAAATACTTTTTTAAACTTTTAAATCATATTTATACCTTTTTTAATAATTAATTAATTACAACATATTTTTTACATAATTTTAAATAAAATGTTTTCTATTCAATTTTAAGTGGATATTTAAAAACAAATGCATATTTTTAGCATATTACAGCATTTTTAGAAGCATATTTTGAGGATTTTTTGTGCATGTAAACCCGATTCCTTGGCTAATAATTTATTCACAATAAGCCTTTATGCTGATGAGTATTTTTTTTTTTTTTGAGATGAGACATAATCCATGAAATGAGACACCTAATGGTGACACCTTATAAAAAAAATTGTTTAATTTTTACTGGATTTTTAATTGTGGTTTAGATCATGGCACCATCTTCTCTTTGGTCTGCGAGGCAGGTTAGGTTACAAACCAGGAATGGTGTCAGAATTCAGTGCTGATGTTATTTGATTTGGTTGGTTGGTTAGACTTGATCGGAAGCGTTTATATAGTAGGTAGTTTTGCAGTGTCATCTACAGTATTTCGTCCAATATTAAATGTTAAAATTAAATAATTTATAATAAAATATACCTATCTAATGATCTAAAATTCTATAATTAAATAATATATTATTCTATTACTTTAGCGTATATTATACTTATTATATTACGTTACATAATAATATGTGTACCTACTACCTAATAATATTTATTAAATGTCTGCAGCTTTATGAGATAGTGATCACATTAATTGGTTACCCACTATTATATCTCAACTTTGGAGTGTATTGCGCCTTAAGGTTTTTATCTTAATTTTTGTCTATACAAGAACGGCTTGGTAATATTTTTTTCAAATATGTACATTGTACATAAACTTTCACTAATGGTGGCTATACTTAAACGATTTTGGAAGAAACAGTTTGGGCAATTGAGATTAATTATGTAGTTTATACTCATTTATAAAAATAAAATTATCTAATAATTATAAAAATATAAAATATATAAGATCCTTAGAAGTTATGGTAAATATTACGACTAGCTTATATAGGGAAGTAAAAAAAATGGCAGTGAGAATTTAAAAAAGGTCTGGAGAGTGTACAATTATTATTGGATCTAGGGGTGCTAATTTGCACCTATATGAGACTATAATAGGTATTAGGTAGTTCACTATTAAATATACATTGATGATTGATAACGTATAATATGTTTGTTTATGTATTCAAGTAGGTGCCTCTGTGGTAGATATAATAGTATACTATAACTAACGCGTAGGTAGGTACTTGCGGTGCAATTATAAATAATTATATTGAGGAGGGGCGGTGATGGGTTACACCCGAACAAATTGCGATGATTAAACAAACACTATAAACTCATTTTTGTTTTTTAAGGTGTAATGAAATGAATATCGAATATAATTTCAAAGAGTTTTTCTGTCAAAACTATATAAACGAAAACAATTTTTAGTCTTTACAAATTATTTTTGTTTCCGGCATTGATAACTAGATTCGTTAAAATTGGCACATCTCAAACGGCTCCCGTTGAAAAAGGTATTAAGAATTTACGAACAGGTAAATTCTTTAACGGCTGACGATGATATCGGTATACCGATGTACCGTATACCACTGGGATACGGTATACCGTTGTATAGTTTAGATTTAACCAAAAATATAGGACACATTGATAATATCGAAAATACCGAAACATTGAACATATTATTATCTATACCGACATTAAATGTGGGCTGTGTTTAGCTTCCCTTTCCTTGACCTCAAATGGCTATGAATCGTTCCACGCCAGATTCAACTGCGGATTCAATTCTGCTCATCCTAATATTTTCAAGGTTATTGACTACTAACCCAAATACAAGCGGAAATGCACATTAAAGTTCGAAGTCTAAAATAAAAAAATAAAAAAAGCCTGTTCTTTTATGTATATATAATTAACTATTTATAAACTAGTTCCTACCTACATTTGGTTTTAACTCATATTGGATTTTGAGTATTTTGACGATATCTGTAAAAGTATTGTATCATACAGAATTCATATCACTGAATCGTAAGTATTTAGGCTATAAATGTTATGTTCTAAAAGCAAGGTCACTAACATTCACCTTCTGTGAACCGTTATCCGTGACTAGATGGGTATGAAGTAAATCTGGATAAGAGTTACCCTGAACATAATAATAATATTATAAAGTTCCACATTAATGTACGCTTTTTTTTTTTTTGGTGTATTGGAGTATCAATAATTCCTAAGCCGAATAATCATGAATGTTGTATGCATAATCGTTTAAACTTGTTGTATGATTGAAAAAACATCTAAAAATTAAAATATTATTGAGGGCGTTGGAACTGGCTATTTGTTAAGGGGAAAATTGTAGGTAATTTCTATTTTTGTATAACGGTTGGCAATAACCCTTAAACAGTCCTTAAAAGACAATCAAATTTTATTTTATTTTAATGATTTAAAATAAAAGCATTTGGAGCAATCAGATTTTTATTTTTGTTTATTATTTACAAAATAAAACTGTATTTAAATCACATTAGTCTTTGATTTTTTAATTAACTCTGAATAACGTCATAAAAGTACTTAATAATTTGAGATTGTTTAGACGCCTACTACAACTTCTGTAAGTGGAGTTTTGAAAATCCGAGTCAATGCGGCTTGTTTCGTCATCATATTTTGGGCAAAAAAAACTGTCAAAATCTGTCTATTTCACGTGGCATTTTCTCATGCATTGTTTTGTATTCATCACCCTGATATTTTCCAAGTTTCTGTAGTTGTGCCGTAAATGCACGCGTAAACGCAATACATTTTACTTAACAGT